GTGCTGTTTTTGGGTCCAACCTCAAGGCCATTACATGGACAGGCCCATGAAAGAACTGACAGACCCTTGCACAAAAAGTAAAATCATTGGAAAATTTGACAAAAGCAGAGCTGCTTGTAGACATACCGATATCCTCCGGATGGACTTGAACTCCAGGAAGGTGAGATGCTCAGCCAGCTCCATGGACTCCAGGTGGTCAAACAGCAGTGAGGCCTTGCCTTTCTTTGCCTGCTTCTTTCGCTGGGTCAGCTTGCGCATCCAGTCATATGATGGACTATAACGCAAACAATTTAAAAAAAAAAAAAANNAAACTTATGGTATGCTTTAGAAAATGACACACCAATATGAATTATGGACGATTTGTAGCTAACTGAAAAGCTGCAGAATCACCACTATGATCCTTCAAGGTTGTTTAAGCTATGTCTATGTAGGTATTCAAGTCTGTTATTTAAGCTCCAGAACAAGAACAACTGGGTTTCCACTCATTCATGAGGGTTTGTCATTTTGATATTTTAGCATAAGGACTTTGGTTTAGGGTTAAGATTGGAATTGGTACTTATTTTACTTTAGGGTGAGGACTAAATTGCTTGCACAATTAATCTCTTACCCATATACTGATATACCTATACCTATTACCTATACTCATCTGGTCAATAGTTTCCACAAGTGTATCTATATGATATTGGTGTCTTACATGGTGGAGATGTCAAGGAGTTTGAAATGCTCCTCACAGCCAAGCTGGGCAGCCACATCTCTGAACTCTTCTGTTATCTGGATCAGACCCATGTCCAGATTGAACTCAGCAGGGAATGTCACTATCCAGTACCTGAACACAAACATATATATATATTTGCACAGCATATGTTTTGACACTGAAAAGATGATGAACCCGTGACAGAATGGAAAAAACCTAATTTTAGCACCAAAAAAAACTTTCCACTGAAAAAAAGTGACGCCTGTGAACTAGTGATATGTGACTCATGCTTCTGTATTGTGCCTCTAATTTTAAAATGTGAAACTTAACAAACTGTAATTTTATATGAAACTGTAAGGTATGGGTTAGAATCACAGGGAAATAAAGTCTGTCATAAGATGAAATGAGTCTTGGTTTTCTGTGGTCTTGGGTTTAGGTTTCACAGAGGCTAAGACACTGAAGGTGAAGTCTTCATGTGGTAGTACCATACCTCATTAAATAACAAATCTTCAGCCTGGTTCTCTGGCAGTTGTCACCATTGCAGTCACGGTATGTGGGGTTAAGTTAAGGACAATTTGATTTGACAAACTAATACACTGTTATATTAACACATTAAGCACATTAGTAATAAACTTTAAAGATTAGCTGCTGTGTGCGGCTGGCTGACAACAATCATTTACAATCTTATGAGAAGCCTACGTGTCTTCGTCTCTCAGCATTTCTTTGTGTGGCTATTGCTAATCTGATTTGATTTTGATGGCAGATCCTCATGCAGAAAGAAAGTTGTTTTAGCCAGAGTTTTTAATAGTGTGTCTAGCTATTAACTTTCTGAAACAGACAATCTATCAACCACACCCACTTTACACAGTGACTGGTCAGGTTTGTGGAGGTGAGAGAGTAGGCTAGGCAGGGTTTGAACTTCTTCTTTTTTTGTAATTCTTCATACAACTACTTCTTTAATTTTTTTGCGTGTACATCCAAGTACATCACCAAGAATAGTTTTGAGGATTTGTATGATCATTATTCATTGTGTCTTAGCCATAGACTGTATAATAAATAGTGGACAGAGCCTTTGGGTCTGTGAAGTGAGACCAATGCGTTAAATCTGCATTCTTTCTAATGGACACCAGGGGTGGTAGCAAAAAGCAGTCCAGTTGCATGTAATGGAATATAAAATGACCCTACTTCTCACATGAGAACACAGAGCAGTAGATCATTCTTTCCATCTTTGAATAAAGATGGAATGAATTATGCTTGTCAATAAAGCTCTAAATAGCCTTGTTTAAATGAATGATCCAGACCTTTCAGCTCATCTGGCACTGGTATCCTCGCTCAGTGTCAATTCCAAATCTGCTCAAGGTGCATCTAGTTTTCAGCACAAATGGTTCTGACATTCCTCATGATTTACTAGGAAGTTACACTTCACCATACACACATGCATACTTTTTGCACATAAAACACCTGTGGAAGAATACAGTAATAGTTGTTGGATATATCTGGGAGGTTAAGACAAAGGAAGCTACCTATAACTAAGGAATTTATAAGAATTCAATTAGCAAAATAATAAGCAAAAAAAGATTTCCTGCAATTTATATAATTAGATTAGATAAGGGATTACTTTACAGTGTGTTGAATTCAAAGTGCATATCCACAGCTAGCTGAAATAATAGTACTTCAAGATATTGCATATATGCATTAATGATATTAGGCACTGTGTTGATGTGTGTTAGCTGTAGTTCCTGTATGCTTTCTGCCATATGGGATATATCATCAGTAGTTTTCCAGCCAGATCTGAGGATGTAAGGTACCAGCGATGCATCAGCAGCAGGCTGCGAGGAAGCTGGTTGGTCTGCAGCTCCCCATTGTCATCTATGAAGAGAAGTGAGAGAAATGTGCAAATTCAAATTTATGTCCATGGCGGAAGAATAATCATGTTTTTTTTTTTATATCTTACTTGTTAAAGGATCATTCTAGGATTATTATTATTACAGCAAATATATGAAACAATTTGTGGCCTAAATATGTTCTGAAACTCATGAAACATGGCACATGTCAATGGTTACAAAAATGTACATGCCATATGGGTCTTATACATGGGCATGGCAAAATGGCTTGATAGTGGCACCTAATGAGCAGCTTCGTAGCCATGCTCTAAATAGTAGGGCGGCTGTGGCTCAAAGGCAGAGCGGGTCGTCCACTAATCGGAAAGTTGTTAGTTCGATCCTCCTGCCATGTGTCGAAGTATCCTTGAGCAAGATACTGAACCCTGAAATGCTCCTGATGCTGTGCATCAGTGTGTGAATGTGTATAAATGCATTAGTTTCTGTCTGATGGGCTTTCCATCACTCGAGTGAATGTGTGTTGAAAGGGTGAATGTGGCACGTAGTGTAAAAGCGTTTGAGTGGTCGGAAGACTAGAAAGGCGCTAAAAATACAGGTCTTTACCATAGTGGACACAGGAAGTGACATTTAACTCTGTGTACAAAATGGATGAAAATTCAGAGGCAAGTTCTCCATCTCCATCCACAGCGCCACAATAGAGCCTGAGTGTGGGGTGTTTCACTTCTGCTTGCAGCTTCAATATTCAATATTCAATTTTTCCCATGAAAAGACCAGTTAATACTAACAAGTCTTGTGTGTGTATCCAAAGCCAGATATATCTTCTTCCTCTGTGCCATAGAGCAC